GTCTGTGACTCCCTCTCTCTCTGACCCTCCCCTGCTCATGCTCTCTCTCTCTCTCTCTCCTAGAAATAAATAAAACATTAAAAAAAAATTTTTTTTTTTACTTTTAAAAACAGAATAAAATAAATAAATATAGTAAAAAATGAATGTCCCCTTCTTCATTCCATCATCCCTATTAGTCAAGGGCAACCATTGTTAATGGTTCTATGTTTATTGTTCCAGCCCTCTATATTCATATACACATATATAAATAAACATAAACATTGATATATAATATATATGTCCATAAGCAGTAATTTACCAAAATGAGACTATAATAAACATATAATTCTGCACCTTACTTTTTCTACTTGACAATAGGCTATGGCTATCTTCCTGTGTCAGTAGAATAATCCACTTCATTCTTTTTCATAACTGAATAGTCTTATGTAATGTGGACTTACTATAATTTATTTAGCCCCCCCACTATTGATATACATTTATGTTGTCACCCATTGTTGGCTATTAAAATGATGTTGCAAGAAACATCTTGGTGCCCATTTACCAGAATATACATGTATTTTTGCTCTATTGTATATATCTGTAGAATAAATTTATTGAAAACTTTCGAGAGCTCTCCTGTGAAAAGAATGCCCTCTAAAAATATTATTTTGTACAGTACTCTAGAAGGTGCACAGTATATACAGGATGCTAGGCCAGAGAGAGGCAGTCACTGGCAATTGAGATAATCAATAACACTTTTCTCCCCCTCACACATTTCAAGTAGACCCCAGCCTACATTTTATGCTTCTTTTTCCTGTTTCCCCAAAATAGTCCATCTGCTCCAGAAAGCACTCTCTTTATAATGTCCTTTGAACCCCTTTGCCACTAAGTCCAACAGAGAGGACCACTGGGTTTGTGATTGTCAGGGTACTTCCCACACACAAGAGAACACCTCCATATTGTACAAGGAAGACAATAGTTATCCTCAGAGAAGTCACATAAAGTATTCTATGGGTGTAAAGGAGGAAGATATCACTTTGGCTTGGAGAGAGGAGAGTCAGGAAGAACTTTCCAGAAAAGATGACACTTAACATAGGCCTTAAAGAATAAGAGGCACAAAAAAATTAGTTAATTAGTTAAAAATAAATTTAAATTAAAAAAAAGAATAACAGGGTTGCCTGAGTGGCTTAGTCGGTTAAGCGACCGACTTTCGCTTAGGTCATGATCTCGCGGTTTGTGGGTTCGAGCCCCGCGTCGGGCTCTGTGCTGACTGCCAGCTCAGAGCCTGGAGCCTCTTTCAGAGTCTGTGTCTCCCTCTCTCTCTGACCCTCCCCTGCTCACGCTGTCTCTCTCTCTCTCTCTCTCCTAGAAATAAATAAAAATATTTAAAAAAAAAAAAAAGAATAACAGGCACAGATAATGAGAAAGTAATCCAGGCAAATGCAGCAACTTGAATAAGGGAAGGCAACCTCTTTGTGGTTCAGTTTCCTTATCTATGTAATGAGGGCAATATGACTCACCACACAGGTTTCCTACAAGAATCAAATGAGTTAGCACTTTGTTTTCATAAAATGAATAGTATTTGTTTCATAAAGTGAATAGTATTTGTTTTCGTAAACTGGATAATATTCTTCCAATGTTACTGCCAATAGTAATAATTCTTTTATTGTTACTATGGTGAAATGAGGATAATGAAAATTTCCTGAGCATATCTCAGCAGGCTCTCCTTCTTTGTCAAGTCTTGCAGGCTTCTAGGACATAGGACACACCTATATTCAAATACATTTTTAGAAAGATTTGACCACACATTCCGAAGACAATCAGAAGGCTTAGGGAAGATCTGCTATTTGTTATTAGCTGCCATGCTATTCCTCTCTATCAGAACAAATTTTCAGTTATGACAATAAATCCTTGCTTTTATTTACAATCTACCAACTCTTCTTCATCCTCTGAATGCTGTAGGAAAAAAGGAATATCTGCTTCTTTCAGCCCCTTCTTCCTACTGCCATTCAGGGGTCAGTTACTACCCCTGCCCTCCACTCTCAGGAGGGAGAAGCCCTGATTGGTACATTGAAGAAGAAATAAGAAATAACCCCCATGATTTTTGTAAAAGTACATGTTGTTCAAAGAAAGAAGATATACCCTGTCTTCTCCCCACCAAAGTTTGTGTTTTAATGGGGAAGCTTTTCAAGTATCGATTTTGCAGTCAGTTTCTATCTTACCATAACTATTGACTCCACTTCTCACCCATTTCAGATTAGGGAGAAAAACATGTACAAAACCATTGATAAAACCATCTACAAACAAGCATTCAGCCCTGAGACCCTTCTAAGATGTTGGAATGAGTGTCTGGACAAGTCTTCCTTTCACAGCAGAAGAATGCAAGTGGAAGAGTTTAATAAGAAGAATTATTGGAAGAAGAAAGGCATTGCAATTATCCCCATGAAGTTTTCTGTTGGCTTTGCTGCAACAAGCTATCACCAGGTAAAGCTTTTATATGTGAGAAATAACCCTCATGTGAGATGCACTGCTACCCCAATCAGCTCTTGCTGACTTTGGGAGAGTGGAGTATGTCCCAGGCACTGAACCCCTCCCTCCCCCAGCATCTGGGAGAAATGTTCAGAACTCTCCTTCTGCAAGCACATTCAACAGTGCAGTAGAAAAATGTCTCGGTGGCAGAAAATGGCATCAGCAAGCCTGAGAACTGCCCCAGTTTAACTGCCAAGACACAGCAGTGACCATGACCACCACCTCATCCAACACTGAATCATCCCTATTCTAAGGTAACAAGAGCCCACAAGGCCCATTGTGCTGAGCTTTCTGTGCCCTGAGGTTATGACTTAAGCAGGAAGGGGGCCTCTCTTGGTCTGTGCCCCAGATACCTCAGTGCTTCTCAGTGCTCCTAAGTCTAGGCAGAGAAGTCACTGCATGCTGCCCTGACCAGCTGGCTGTTTCAGGCTACCTCTCCCAGGAATATGTGTCATATTCCTGATGGGGAAATAGGGAGGTATGGTCCAAAAATCCTTCCAGGTAGATTTGCAAAAGGAAGAGGCAGTTAATTCAGAGGCCCTCTCCAGAAGGTGAGAAGGAAAGGTGGCAAATAGATGCGCCCATTAAATAATACAAGACTAGTACAGACGAATCTTCCCAGCAACCTCAATGGGTCACATACGGGAAAGCTATTTCGAAACTAGGAAATGTTGCTTCCCCATTATTTTCCACCAGAAGCAAAGACTCTGCAACTGAAGAGATCTTATATGCATTAGATCTAAATCTAAAAATACACTAGATCTCCATTGTGTGTATATCACAAAAAGCATTTTTCCACTTAACACTCAACTACTAGCAGCCGCTAGACACACACACATGCACACACCACAAAAGCTGCCCTGTCCAAGGAAATCCTTCTTAGGGAATAAAGAAGTTGCCCCAAACCCTAATCAACAGGAGTCAGGTGGACCTGAGAAATCCTTGCTCTGCCACTTACTAGTGTGTGATATGAAGCAAATTAATTAATCTCTCTGAGCCTCAGCTTCCTCAATTATAAAATAAGAATAATAATCCTTTCTCTTAGGATTGATAAGGATTCAAAAAGCTAATAAATACAAAGCACTCGGCAGGGTTCCTGAAACTCTGTGTAGTGGTTCTAGGCAGCCCACAGCTCTCCCTCAGAAGTTCTCAGGCACACCTCTCAGGTCTGGGGCTCCTTCAGCAGGTAGGATGAGACCCCCTGGCCTCCTGAGTCACACTCCTGTTCAGGCACAGCATGCCCATTCTCTACAGAGGTGCAGGAAAGGTAACTGTCACACCTACGAGCTGGGAGTGACTCACTGCTGGAGCGTAAGAGATTCTAGATATCTGCCTATGTGGTTTTTTCTCTGACACCAAATGTTGTGTTTTTTCTGCTTCAGTTCTCCAATTCTCCAACACCAACTGAGCATGCAACAATTCAATTCAATTCTGACACTAACTAACCAGAGTTAGCACAGACTCCACAGATCAAGGGCTAAGTCCCATAAGACTGCCTCCACTTAACACACCAGTGAAAGAGGGGTGCCCAAGCTACTCACACTTCTGCCCAGGCAACTACAAAATCAGGGAGTTTCCACAACCCACCTCCCTTAGGTTCAGTAATTTGCTAGAACAACTCATAGAACTCAGGAAAGCATTTTACTTACAATTATTACTAGTTTGATACAAAGGATATCAGCCAAGGAGAGAGGGCAAGATGGCGGAGAAGTAAGGAGCTCCGTACCTGCACTCGTGCCCATACATCACACAGAAAAGATCTGAAGCCATTGGAAACCTTACAAAACCAGAGAGATTGGGAGAAAAAGGACGCAGAATCCACTGAGAGAGCCTTCTAACGGCTACCTCAAGAAACAAGCAAGAGTACACAAGGTGGAGAGTCCCAAATATCACTAAAAATAGGAAAATAAAATAACCAAGGTCCCAACAAGAGAGACCAAGAGATACCATTCAAAAAACACTCTCTGAAAGGATAGGCCCTGGAAAGTCAAAGAGTCTTCTTGGATATAGCAGCGCTCATAGAAACAGAGAGCATAAAAGGTCTTTAAAACCAACAAGAGCCGGAATGCTAACTAAAATGACGAAACGAAAGACCTCTCCTCCAGAGAAACTCCAAGAAGAAATGACGGCTAATGAACTGCTCAAAACAGATATCAGCAGCATAACTGAACAAGATTTTAGAATAATAATGGTAAAATTAATAGCTGGGCTTGAAAAAAACATAGGGGACATCAAAGAAACTATGGCTACAGACAGAATGGAAAAAAAAGGATATCAGCCAAGAACAGCCCCATGGAGGAGATGCATAAGGCAAGGTATGGGAGAAGAGGTGTGGGGCTTTTATGCCCTCTCATTCCAGCTTATGGGTGTGTTCACCAACCCAGAAGCCCCCCAAACCCCATCGTTTGAGAGTTTTATGGAAGTTTCATTACATAGGTGCACTTGATTAAATCATTGGCCGTTGTGATTGAACTCAATCTCTAGCTCCTCCCCCTCTCTGAAGGTGAGAGTGGGGAGGGCTGAAAGCTGGAACCCTCTAACCATGTGTTTGGTTTTTCTGGCAACAATTCCCACCCCCCACAAGCTGTCTATGTTTCCCTCGAGAATCATCTGAACAGCAGACAAAAAATAATAAGTTCCCAGGATTTTAGGACCTCTGTGCCAAAAATCAGAGACAAAGACCATATATTTATTTTTTATTATACAACACTTCCACACACCTGTATGGCTGCCCCTCATCTGAACCACAGTCTACTCTCTGCCATCATCCATGGGAGCCAACTTCTCATCTTGACACACACAGAGACACACAAATCCTTAAACCAAGCAATGATGTTAAATCTCTTTTTGAAAGGTCTCCAGTTTCTTCACAGAGTTCCAAATTGATGCACTCTAGAATCACCAGGCTGGGAGTTGAAATGTATTATTTCAGGGTAGCTGATGACTCACAAACCTGGAACACCTACTCTCTAAACTAGGCATTGGGAGCATGGTCAAGAGAGAGTCAAAAGGCCCACATTGATAAACACTATTATTAGCATCTATAAGCCTGGGTGCCCCAAAGCTCCTCCGAGTCATTCTGGACCTCCAGGCATTGCCAGACAGAATAAAGTCTTTATTCCTCCCCCTTCTCCTCCTCCTGCAATGAAACATTTCCACTCATCCAATTCAACAAACATTTATTCAGTCCCTCTGTGATTCAGACTTGCTCCAAGTTCTCAATAGGACACAAACTTGAACTTTTGATTCTCTCACAGAAGAGCTTGTCACCCCCCTATATTCATTTCCTATGGCTGCCATAAGAAAGTACCACAAACTGTGTGGCTTACAACAACAAATTTGTGCTCTCACAGTTCTGGAGGCTTGGAGTTCAAAATCCAGGTGTCAGGAGGGTAATGCTCCTTCCGAAATCTCCAGAGGAGAACTCTTCTTTGCCTCTTCCAGCTTCTGGTAGCTCCTGGTATTCCTCAGCTTGTGGCTGCATTACTCTAATCTCTGCCTCCATCTTTACGTGGCCTTCTTTGCTGTGTGTCTTCACACGGCCTTATATAAGGACACTAGTCATTGAATTTGGAGCCCACCCTAATGCACTATGACCTCATCTTAACTGATTATATCTGCAAAACTGTATTTCCAAATAAGGTTGCATTCGGAAGTTCCAGGTATACAGGAATTTGCAGGGGACATTAACCAACCCCGTTCGCCCTGTAAGAGGAAGTGCAGAGACGCGGGTAACTGATCCTTCCAAGATGGGAATGAGAAGCATATGAGCAAAGCTTTACCAAAACAGACTGTAGGTGTGGGTCTGAAGGCTGGGGAGCAGGCCAGGAAGTGAGACCAGCCTAAGTATGAGCACAGGTCAGGCAGGAGCAGCAGTAAGGCAACGCAGGAAAAGACAATGATGAAACTGGAAAAGTACGAGAGACCAAATCCTAAAAGGCCTCATATTGTAATAAAGAGCTAGGCTTTCCGTTATGGATAACGGGGAATTTTTGCCCAACTTGCCCAGTGGTGAACACTTCTCTTCATGATTCCATTCAGTTGTCTCTTTGGGGAAGTCCTTTCCCATGCTTCTCAAAAGCAGTTGGGTCTGTCCTCCCAGGTCTCCAGAGCCCCTTATGCATGCCCATTATCTCACAAATCATTCTGCATTACAATGACCTGCTTTCCAACCTGTCCCCGCATTACGGTGTGAGCTACTACACTGTTGAGGAAGAACCACATCTTGTTCATCTGTGTATGTCCAGAGCTGAGCACAGGTTGCCACATAACGTGTGTCAAGTACCTAACAAATGTTTAATTAGTTAGCTGAGCAGTCAGCCAGAGATTTTAATCAGGGGAGTGACTTTCAAATAACTGGAACCAATATTCATAACTCCTGAGTATCCAAAGGGGCTCCTATTAAAAACAAGTTCCTGAATAAACCAGGTTCTTTACCAGGTCACCAGATAACTTTTGCACAAAACAGGTTCCTAAATAAACCAGGTTCTTTACCAAGTCACCAGGCGACTTTTGCACAAAACAGAACTAAGCTTCAGAATCTCACCAGGAAATCCTGCCTCTATGACCCTCCCCACTCTGTGAGACTGGTATATCACTACTCATTTTTTAATATTGAACCTCACTAAACTTGAACTGAGCTGTGCCTTTTGGGTTGTTTTACTAGGCAGCTGCGCTTGTTCATATCTACACAGATGGGTCTGTATTGGTCACACATGGAGGCAACGAACTGGGACAAGGTATTCACACCAAAATGCTGCAGGTAAAATCAATAAAATTAAGTCCTTAATCTCTCTCTCTTTCAATTGTTTTTATATTTACTATTTGTTTTCAAATTTTTATTTAAATTGTTGTTAGTTAACATATAGTGTAGTATTTTCAGGAGTAGAATTAAGTGATACATCACTCTCATATAACACCCAGTGCTCAACATGACACGTCTGTAATTGCCCTCCTTAATATCCATCACCCATTTAGCGCACTCCTCCCACCCCATCAACCCTCAGTTTCTTCTCTATCATAGACTGTTTTATAGTTTGTTTCCCTTTATTCCTCTTTTTTTCCCATTCCCATATGTTTATCTGTTTTGTTTCTTAAATTCCAAATATGATGAAATCATATAGTATTTGTCTTTCTCTGACTTATTTCACTTAGCATAATACACTTTAACTCCATCCACATCATTTCAAATGGCAAGATATGTACAATATTCTACATATATATAGAGAGAGAATGTGTATATATATGTATACATATGTATATATACATATATATACACACACACATTCATCTCATCCATTCATCAGTCAATGGACATTTGGGCTCTTCCATAGTTTAGCTATTGTCGATAATGCTGCTGTAAACATCAAGGTTCATGTACCCCTTTGGATCTGTATTTTTATATCCTTTGGATAAATACCTAGTAGTCCAGTTGCTAGATCACAGGGTAGTTCTATTTTTAACTATTTGAGGAAACTCCATACTGTTTTCCAGAGTGACTGCACCAGTTTGCATTCCACCAACAGTGCAAGAGGAATCTGCATCCTTGCCAACACTTTTTTCTTGTGTTGTTAATGTTAGCCATTCTGACAGGTGTGAGGTGTTATCTCATCATGGTTTTGATTTGTGTTTCCCGATGATGACTGATGTTGAGTATCTTTTCATGTGTCTGTTAGCCATTTGGATATCTTCTTTGGTAAATGTCTATTCATGTCTCCTGCCCATTTCTTCACAGGACTATTTGTTTTTTTGGGTGTTGAGTTTGATAAGTTTTTTATAAATTTTGGAAACTAACCCTTTATCAGACATGTCATTTGCAAATATCTCCTCCCATTATGTAGGCTGCCTTTTAGTTTTGTGATTGTTTCCTTTGCTGTGCAGAAGTTTTTTATCTTGATGAAGTCCCAATAGCTCATTTTTGCTTTTGTTTCCCTTGCCTCTGGAGACATGTCTAGTAAGAAGTTGCTATGGTCGAGGTCAAAGAGGTTGCTGCCTATGTTCTCCTCTAGAATTTTGATGGTTTCCTGTCTTACATTTAGGTCTTTCACCCACTTTGAATTTATTTTTGTGTATGGTGTGAAAAATTGGTCCATTTTCATTCTTCTGCATGTTGCTGTCCAGTTTTCTGACACCATTTATTGAAGAGACTGTCTTTTTTCCATTGACTATTCTTTCCTGCTATGGCAAAGATTAGTTTACCATATAGCTGTGGAACCATTTCTGGGTTTTCTTTTATTTTCCACTGATCTATGTGTCTGTTTTTGTGTTGGTACCATACTGCCTTGATGACTACAGCTTTGTAATATAAAGTCTGGAATTGCGATACCCCCAGCTTTGCTTTTCTCTTTCAGGATTTCTTTGTCTATTTAGGGTCTTTTCTGGTTTCATCCACATTTTAGTATTGTTTGTTCTAGCTCTGTGAAAGTTTCTGGTGGTATTTTGATAGGTATTGCATTAAATACGTAGATTGCTTTGTTTAGACATTTTAACATTGTTCTTCCAGTCCATGAGCATGGAATGTTCTTCCATTTCTTTGTGTCCTCCTCAATTTCTTTCATAAGTATTCTATAGTTTTCAGAATACAGATCTTTTACCTCTTTGGTTCGGTTCATTCTTAGGTATCTTATTGGTTCTGGTGCAGTTGTAAATAGGATCAATTCCTTGATTTCTTTTTCTACTGCTTCATTGTTGGTATATAGAAATGCAACAGATTTCTGTACATTAGTTTTATATTCTGTGACTTTGCTGAATTTATGTGTTAGTTGTAGCAGTTTTTTGGAAGAGCCCTATGGGTTTTATATACAGAGTATCATGCTGTCTGCAAATAGTGAAAGTTAGTTGTTAATCTCTCTTTACATTGTTGACATGACTGACATGTCGCACTAATTTTAAGTTTATGATGGCCCCCTGTATTCAAACCCTAAGATCTTGACTATTTGGTTGAAAAAGTTTTTACATATCAAAGAGAATGTCTGAGGTGGCAGAAATCCCATGCATGTACAAATAGTCCTGGAGCTTGGCCAGGCTTTATGGGTGGAAGTGGTTGTTAGTGAAAACACCACTAATGAGCCCCTGGAACACTGTGGTAGGTGTGCCATGCAGCTTACCCAGAGTAGGAGTTTCTTGTTTTTTCTATTTAAGACCAGTATGTATGATTTTTAAAGTTTAAACCAACAATATTAGGTTTCTAATATACTATTGGACAAGTAAGGACAAACATTTCATCAACTGCCATCATGCTATAATTCTTAAAGAAAATCTTAACATACACATACATACACACAGAGTAGGAAGATACAATCTCAAGAGGAAAAAAAGAATAATCCTTTAAATTGAACAAATAAATTGACAAATTTATTATATTATCATGTACACATCTGCAGCTTTTGACTATCCAGCCCCTTAGCTCATTTGGAATACAGCCACTACATTCCATATATTCCTAAAAGGCCCCTCAATTCTGGTACCTTTTAGCCCCATCTCCCGCCTTTCCCCAGCTGCACAGATATAGGTACAGGTGCCATGTCTGGCTAGTCATGCTGCCTGAATCCACTAGCTACAAGGATGGGTCCAGGAAGAAGGCATAGGACCGAGATCCTTTCCTGGGACTGATGTATGGGCCCTGGTAGAAAAGAACTATCATTCCCTTGTAGTTGTTTGGCTCCTATGCTATAGGCCAGAGGTTGTCAGAGGCAATTTTCCTGTGCCACAAAGGAAGTATGTCTAATGTCTACTCTTGGATATAATATAGCCATCAAAGAAAAATAAATATGAAGGGCAGTGAAGGAACCCTGATGAAACCATAAAGACCTAGATACAGATATATGTGACACTGGCCCCATCTGCCCTTCCCAGTTATAGGACACAATAAATTCCCTTTGGCTCTTCATCACCAAGAAATAATAAAATTTTCCTTTTCTTTTTTATCATATTACCTCTTTCTGGGGAAACTTAATTTTACAATAGCATTAGTCTATACAGTGGCACCGGGGGATAGTACATAACTGCAGACATCTGGAGAAAGTGGTTTTGCAAAACCTAAAGGACCACAAAAACCAAAATAATGATTTTTCTCTTCCTTCCTTCCCACTCTTTCTTTTTCTTTTTTTCATTTGTTGTGATTAAATATCTTTCTTTCCACATGTGTCTGCTAGAGAACCTGGAAGAAAAAGAACGGAAAAGAAAATAGTGAACAGCAAATACTAGAGGATTGGAAGCAGGAGGGAGCAAACAGAAGATAAGGGGGGAAATCCAAAGATAAAGTGGGGATGAGGGCAAGAGAGCAGACAGACCGTCAGGGTCATTTCAAATTCATGTGATCCTGATATCAACAGTTTAAGACCAACCTTTGAACCAGTCAGTCCAATCTCTCTCTTCCTGTCACTGCTAACATGTAAAACTCAAAAAAAAAAAAAAAAAAAAAGGAAATACTTAACATCTAAACACTCATTTTGAATGGAAGAACCTCTACGTAATATTGCCAAGAAAACATTTTAAAAATCAGCATGAGGCAGGGCTCCTGGGTGGCTCAGCCAGTTGAGTGTCTGACTCTTGATTTCAGCTCAGGTCATGATCTCAGGGTTATGGGGTAGAATCCCATGTCAGGCTCCAGGCTGAGCACAGAGCCTGCTTAAGATTCTTTCTCTCTCTCCCTCTGACCCTTTCCCCCACACACTCTGTCTCTAAAATTAAATAACCAGCATGAGGCTCTACTAAAAAGGCTTTTAACTTTTATTTTAGGTTTTCAAGGATATCATGGATGTGATAAAAATGGTATTTTTTTCATTTAAAAACTGACTCAGATCTTCATAGAAGACTTTGCTGGACATGAAAATATTTCTTTTTCTCATAGGTGGCCAGCCGTGAATTAAAACTACCCATGTCTTATATGCATGTCTGCGAGACAAGCACGGCCACGGTGCCGAATACAGTTGCTACAGCAGCTTCCATTGGTTCGGATGTCAATGGCAAAGCCGTCCAGGTGCTTCCTGCTGCCTGTCTTTTCCTTTCAGCACTTTTTCCATATTGCTGGTTTTCTTAGCTGGATACAGACACGAGAAATTGCCTTCAGAGAAGTCATTCAAGTCACTAAACATAGGCTTAGGATAGCCAAAATGTCAGGATAGGGTGCCAGTTAGAGTAGGCTAAACTGCGGTGACAAACAGATACACAATACAGTGACTCAAGCACAACAAAAGTCCCTTTCTTACATATATAACAGTCCACAGGGAGTGCCTTGTCATTAGAGTACCCTGAGGTTAATGGCAGTTCCTCCACCTTCAACATGGGGCTTTCAATGTTCCCCTGAGCAGCAGCATGAGGGAAAAAGCATGGAGGTCAGAGCTGGAAGTGATGTGAGTCACTTCCACTGATCATCCAATAGCAGAACCAGTCTCAGGCCATGTCTAGCTGCAGGGGAGGTTGGGGAAATGTAGAGTAGTGAGGCACCACACACCCAGCCACTGTGGAAGAAGGGGAGAATAGATGTTGGTGAACAAGCAGTCTCTGTCCCTGGTAGACACAGAAAGAAGAAACCTGGGTACCAAGTATTGCAGAGCTGGGCATGTTTCCTCTGACGCAAACAAGTACTTGCAGGCAGGTAAGCAGGCAGAACCCCAGCCAAGTAGATATAGCTCAATTAAAGTGTCTACATGAGTGGAATTCTACCACAGCACTCATGCTTATCCTTTGTACTTGTCTTCTAACCAATTATTTTTTTAACTACTAAATTTTCACTTCTTCAGAAAAGACTCTGACTTCAATATTCCTTAATTAAGATATCTGATTGCATGTACTTTTGAAGTAATATCTATTTGTCATGTTTCTGTTAAAAACATTCCGCTTTTTCCATTGGGATGTTGTGAGAGGCATATTGTGAGAACACTGCACTAATGCTACCAAGAGATATCACCTTCAAATCCATCTTTGTGGAGATACTTGTTAGGGGCTAAAATCCAGAGGCTCTTCCCCTCAGAACAACTGTGTGGGAAACTTCAAATTCATAAGACCCAGTTTTCGATAGGATCCAACACAGATAAGAATCACTCAGTGTGTGTGGGAGTTGTCAACCCAAACTAAGATTAACCCATTTTCTAGAGTTTTTGGTTTGGTTAAGGATCAGAAACTTTGCAGATCTAGATTATTATAAAGACAAATTTAGTTATTTTCTCACTTCACACCCAAAGCCAATGCCTTCATTGCAGTAGTTTGATGGTGGATGGATGAACATATGCGAGGATGGACAGAGAATTGAATAATATTTCAGACCCAGAGGGATAATGGCATGTTATTGCTGCAGATTAGAATGCACAGATGAGGGGCGCCTGGGTGGCTTAGTCGGTTAAGCGTCCGACTTTTGCTTAGGTCATGATCTCGCAGTTCGTGGGTTCGAGCCCCGCATCAGGCTCTGTGCTGACTGCCAGCTCAGAGCTTGGAGCCTATTTCAGAGTCTGTGTCTCCCTCTCTCTCTGACCCTCCCCTGCTCACGCTGTCTCTCTCTCTCCTAGAAATAAATAAAAAAATATTTTAAAAAAATAGAATGCACAGATGAGAATGAAAATAAGATGTTTTGTTCCTTTTATTTTAATGGCTAGAGAATACAAAAGAAGATGTAAGTAAAAAAAAAATGCAGAAAAAGAGAAGGAATTAAGAACACAAAACAAATATTCTTAGAAAGGGGACCTGAAAGTAGAAATTCAGCTGAGCCCATATCTTCACAAGAAGTGAACTAGGGAAGTTTAAAAAAAACCTGCAATAACTGATACTCTCCTCAAGGTCAGGAGCTATGTTGTTATTGTCTCTGTGTTCCCAATGTATTAGTATCAAGCACTCCATAAACATTCACGGACCTAATCAATTATCAATTACTATTCTTCCACACAAATCCTAACCACTGGGCTCTTCTCTAATGAGGATTCACTTCTTTACCCTTTCAAGAATGCATGTCAGATCCTTCTGAAACGCCTTGAGCCCATCATTAAGAAAAATCCAGGAGGTACATGGGAGGACTGGGTAAGTGTTCTAATCTGTTTGTTACTAAATGAGAAAGCAATCCTAACCAGTGCTGAGACACGCAGACTGCACAGAGGTAGTTTTTCTCGGAGTGGATTTCTGCAAAAGGGCAGAATTGCAAAAGATTGAGACAGCTGCTTCATGCTGTATACCAGAACTTGTGAGTGAGAGCACACAGGGAACAGCATCACTGAGGGGAAGAACAGAAATATGTCTTATTTACCCTCTGCTTAAATAAGAAGAGGAAAAGACCAAGCTCCCTAAGCCACCAAAATAAATAAATAAATAAATAAATAAATAAATAAATAAATAAATAAATAAAAAGGTGTCTTAAATGGGAAGGAAGAAAACTAAAAGGGCTAATTGCTATTAAACATGTCTCAAAGGAAATGACTCATCGAATCCAACTTTACAACATCCTTTCTCTTATCTCATTGGAACACTTTTCTCACACTTACACACACACTTAACTAGAGTTTTAACACTTAGAAATGAAGCCCCAAAATACCTTGGGAACTAAGCCCCTACATCATGGATGTGCGGCAAAAGTTTATTTGTTTAATTCAGACATTTCAACTCAATCAGAAGGAAATTGTTAATGTACCAGCTGAGGAAAAACAAATATTATGATGTGTTCTATTATTGGTAACAAAACACCAGCAACAATGATCAGATGTCAATTTTGATATAGGGAATACTTTCATTTTCACCTATCGGATGATGTATTTATTTTATTCTGACTAAATATGCCCACTCTTCAGATAGAAGCTGCTTTTGAACAAAGAATCAGTCTTTCAGCCACTGGATACTTCAGGTAAAAATTACAATAATGTCTGGACTTAGCTGAGAAAATATAGGGTAACCCAATTGTTCTGGACTTTAGTCCCCTTATTTGTAAAGTAAGTTTATATTATGTGATCAATGAGGTCCCTTCTCAGCCTAAAATCATATGATTTTATGTAAGCCTTTTAACTATGTCCAAAGAAATATTAAATAATAAAAATACCCTCACTGGGTGAAAAACATTTTTTTAAGGGCACCTAGATGGCTCAGTTGGTTGAGTGTCCGACTTCAGTTCAGGTCATGATCTCACAGTCTATGAGTTCAAGCCCAGCATCAGGTTCTGTGCTAACAGCTGCAAGCCTAGAGCCTGCTTCAGATTCCATCTCCCTTTCTTTCTGCCCCTCCCTCACTTGCACTCTGACTTTCTCTCTCTCTCTCTCTGCCTCTGTCTCTCTCTCTCAAAAATAAATAAACATTAAAAAACATTTTTTAATTTTTTTAAAAACATTTTTTAAATCTTTTTAATGTTTTATTTATTTTTGAGAGAGAGAGAGACAGCGTGAGCAGGGGAGGGTCAGAGAGAGAGGGAGATACAGAATCTGAAGCAGACTCCAGGCTCTGAGCTTGATGTCAGCACAGAGCCCAATGTGGGGCTCGAACCCCCGAACCATGAGATCATGACCCGAGCCAAAGTCACTTAACTGACTGAGCCACCCCATCACCCCTAAAAAACATTTTTAAAAACTGCACATGAGTTCTAAATTTCTGAGTTCAGCTACCCAAGAAGAGAGCAAATCAGCCCTCTAGCTGGGTACATCTTCCATTGTACATTAATGCATTGAATTACATGTCCTCTTTTACCAGCCCTGAATTACCATCAGTTCCCCAATGAGTTTGGTTAACACAGTCTAGGGGGTCCCTTTGGGAATGATGATAAAATCAGCTGAGGTTCTCAATCCACAGAGCTGAAGCTCAAACTCTAAACTGTGAATACAGACACACTGGGAGATCAGACCAAAACAGCCTGTTGGATTCTCTCTTTTTGGCTTCCTAAGTGAAACACAAAGAGTGTCCTCTTTGAACAGAGGCACATGATAGTGCTGCTATAATTAGCTACGTTGCAAATAGAAGTAGCAGTATAAATGAGTTTAAAAAGCAGTTGAGTGGTACCTGGGTGGCTCAGTCAGTTAAGCGACTCTTGATGTCCACCCAGGTCATGATCTCACAGTTCGGGAGATCAAGCCCTGTGTTGGGCCCTGTGCTGACAGCATGGAACCTGCTTAGAATTCTCTCTCTGCCCCTCCCCTGCTTGTGCTTGCTCTCTCTGTCTCTCTTTCTCTCAAAATAAATAAACTTTAAAAAAAAAAACCTTAAAAAGCAGTTGAAATAAATATCAATAAAATGAAATGCTCTCATAAAATTTTAATAACTTTCAAAATGAGTCAATATTGTTTGCAACCCCACCGCCACCGCTGCCCCAAGCTGACAGGCTGTATTTCTTCCATCAGGGGCTACAAGGCCTACATGGACTGGGAGAAGGGAGAAGGAGACCCTTTTCCATACTATGTCTACGGAGCAGCCTGTTCTGAGGTTGAAATTGACTGCCTGACTGGAGCTCACAAGGTAAACCAAATACAACTTTCTTCTTGGTAAATTAAAACAACAACAAAATTGTGTTGTACACGAAATAGACCAGTTTCATTATGTACAACTTGTGCAATAGGAACGGGATTTTTTTTCAATTTCTTCGGAATATCTAGAGATCCAGCCTTATTCTGAGTTTTCACTTAAAAAGAAGTAGTCGAAAGGAATTGCTCCTAACAGTGTTTTGTAGTTGCCGGGGGGGGGGGGGGGGGGGGGGAGTAAAGATAGAAAAGGGGGTCAAAAAGTACAAACTTTCAGTTGTAAAAGAATTAGGTCATAAGGAATAAGTCCAAAATGATGACTATAGTTAATAATACTGTATTGCACATTTGAAAGTTGCTTAGATAGTAGATCCTCAAAGTACTCATCACAAGAAGAAAAAAAGCTTTAACTATGTATGGTGGTAGAAGTTAACTAGACTTATTGTGATGGTTATTTTAAAATATATGCAAATATCAAATTATATTATACACCTGAAACTAATATAATGTTACATGTCAATTATACATCAATAAAAAGCAATTTAATTTTTAAAATATTTTCAAACAGTAGTCAAAAAAAGAATTGTCATGACAGCCGAAAAATGTTTTTTTATTCCATTTCAAACAACAAAGTTGGTTTTCAAAGTTTTTGCAAAAAAAAGAGGGGAGTAGGAGTCTGTTCCTAAAGTAAGTCAATTTATCTAATTTGAAGGAATAGGTAATATAGCAAATTGTCTTCAGTAAACATTTGAGAGCAGATAGCAATATGATGTTTCTCTAAAGTCAGTTATCCCAAAGGTACTACTGTCCCTAACAAAAAAGTCTGGGGGAGAGAAGGGGAGCCTGAAAATAATTCCTGTGCTTGCTACTTAATTGAGCATCCTACGAAAAGCAGGGAATCATATGTAATCAAAAGTTAACAACTCCCACCATAAAAGGTAAACCCATGAATATACCCCAGATCTCATTCTCAGAATAGAGAGATTACAGAAACCTTAGAGAATATAGAATATCCAAAGTATAGTAATTGTTAGGAAATTTACAAAGCGAACCAATGACACATCTAAATTCCATGCACGGATTATTCCAACATCATCTTCAACCATTTTACCTGAAACTAGAAATGATCAGTTTATGTAAAATAAGAAGGAATTTGCAAATATTGACTTGTAAATCTTACCAAAAATGTCTTTTATTGCCCATTGTTGGCAAATTTGTCCATCACTTAAATTTTATATAAATCAGGTAGAAAATGAAGGGATGTCTGGAGAACAGTTGCCATCACATTCCACTCGGGTTCCTCCTTAGGATATATTACGTCCCCATTTTCATTCGAGATCATTGTGAAGAAGTAAACTCATGAAATTAGGATCATAGATTGTTTATATAATTATTTTAAAAGTCTATTTCCTAATGTCCTTCACATTATGGTACACATAGATAATGATAAAATTTGCATGGCACACTTTTGCAAACAAGGAAACCATGGGGGCAGGTGACCAGCCTGAAAATCCTGCCCCAGATCCCTGCAAAAGTCCAAGTGTCAGTGTCTTGACAGACCTGTAACCCATTCAAGACTCCATAGTCAGTGAAAAGCTGTTTTTAGAAATCAACTAGCTTTCTGATCCTCTACCCTGAAGGTGCTACTGTCAGATTTGTTGCTAGCAAATAAAAATACAGGATGCCTGCTTAAAGTTTAATTTCAGATAAAAAGAACAAATAAATGGTATAAATATGTTCACTGCAGTGTTGGGGCCATACTTATTTTATCTGGCAATTCTACCAGAGGGCCTTAGTATAAATCCCTGAAGAAGCAAATCTCATTGGGGGAGGGGTGTCTTCCAGAATTTATGGTGCCAGAACAGTGAAAATTTGGTTGTCCCTATGGCTTCCTTATTACTATTTAAGATCCAGTCATTTTAATATTACTTCAGTAAACCTTAAAATAGTTTATTCCTTGAAGAAGCAAAATTTCTTTTAATTAAAGGGAAATCAGAAAAATTGAATGACAAGCCTACTGCTGGCAGTTATTTGTGGTTGCTGAATCCAAACACCTGCCAATCCCATTAGTACACAACCTTCTCCTCCCGTTGCCTAACATCCCTAATGCAAAATACACCAGTTTTCAAGATAGAAGTAAATTACTGGCCCACCCTAAGGTGTGTTCAACCTCCTGCCCTATCTGTTGAGAATGAATGAAGGCTGGCCCCAATGCCCATAGGAGGTTGTCTGAGAGGTCAACATTTGAGTCAGAAGAGAGCTGCTGATCCAAAGGGCTAGATAGAAAGTAGCCAGGCTAATAAGCCTCAACAGAGAATGATGATATTGTCAGAACAAGCACAGGATGTGAAGGCAGAAGGAAAGCCCAGAGATATTCCTGAGATAGACCACAGGCACCTATGCTTTCTGTGGCTCCTTAAAAACCTGTCTACACATGCCCTGTGCCAAAACATAAGGGCTAAATCATTGTGATGTTTCTCAGGGAAGGAAGTAAATCAGCAAAGCCAAAAGTATTCGCAAGATTTTCCTTCAATATGTTCCAAGATCTTCCAAATCTCTAATTTCATACATGCCACTATGGCTACATGATTTCCTCAGTAAAACGGCAATAATACCATCTACATCAGGGCGCCTGGGTGGCTCAGTCAGTTAAGCATCCGACACGTGATTTCGGCTCAAGTCATGACCTCACTGTTTGTGAGTTCAAGCCCCATGTCAGGCTCTGCACTGACAGCATGGAGTCTTCTTGGGATTCTATCTCCCTTTCTCTCTCTGCCTCTCTCTCAGAAATAAATAAATAAACTTTTTTTTTAAAAAATATACCATCTACATCAAATCATCATGAGGACTAGATGAGCTCATGAATTGTATTAGAACAACAAATCCAGTTTTAGAATCAAATGAATAACCAGGCTCAATTATTTACTAAGTGACACTCAAAGGCACTAACATACCATGGACTTTGGAGTCACTTAAGAGAAGTCAAAACCATGATTACAAAAGATCTTCTATCGTAGCACTAAAATTGAAGAATCTGACAGATTTCTTACCACTTTTAATATTAATGAGGTTCAGTGCAGTGTTAATTAATCAAAAGGAGTCCTGGAGACCATTTAAATAAACCTTCAGATAATCTTTTTAAGTTTTTATGATGAGGTAATTTTAATTTTTGGCAGAAAATCAGAACGGACATCGTCATGGATGCATGTTGCAGCCTAAATCCCGCCATTGATATTGGGCAGGTAGGTGCTAGCCCACTTAGAGGGATGCCACTTCCTGAAAGTCATTGCGGGATAGGTAAAGGCCTTCTAAAAAGCATATGGTATCACAGAGCTTGACATTTTCCCCTTTCAGGTTGAAGGTTCCTTTATTCAGGGAATGGGCCTTTATACTACTGAAGAGCTAAGATATTCCCCAGAAGGTGTTCTGTACTCTCGAGGCCCAGATGAATATAAAATTCCAACCATCACTGATGTCCCAGAGGAGTTCAATGTCTCCTTGTTACCATCATCACAAACTCCACTAACCATCTATTCATCCAAGGTAAGCACCCAAATCTACTGCTATGCAATGCAGGAAGCATGGTAAATGAAAGCAGGTGGCCGTGACAAACTGTATCAGGACCAAATCACAATAGGCTGTTAGAATTTAGAGGTGAATCTTGGGGCGCCTGGGTGGCTTAGTCGGTTAAGCGTCCGGCTTTCGCTTAGGTCACGATCTCGCGGTTCGTGGGTTCGAGCACCGCGTCGGGCTCTGTGCTGACTGCCAGCTCAGAGCCTGGAGCCTGTTTCAGTCTGTGACTCCCTCTCTCTCTGGCCCTCCCCTGCTCATGCTGTCTCTCTCTCTCTCCTAGAAATAAATAAAACATTAAAAAAAAAAATTTAAAAAAAAAAAAGAATTTAGAGGTGAATCACCTAGAGAAAAGTGAGATTCAGAGAGAATAAATGATCTCTGTCCAATGGCCATCCTGGCCCGAGGATTTTATTTATTAATATCCTCTTTCACTGGAAACTCTAAAATTCGGTGAAAAGCTCTGATTTGATAGAATAATATTTTCACTTAAGAACCTCAAGACTAAAATCTTAGGAAGCAGTGGCAGCATGGGAAGAAGCCTGGACTGAGGCCTCGGTGGAGCTGGGTTCTCACCCCAGCCTTACCAGCTGCCTATGATCGTAGATGAATCACTCTCCTCTTGAGAGCCCAGGGTCCTCATCCATACTCAGAAATGGATCTAGAACAGTGGTTTCAAATGGTTCCCAGGGTACATTTGGCAATGTCTGGAGATACATCTGGTTGTCACGAGGGGGTGAGGGGTGTGGAAGGAGGAGACGTCACTGCTCCAGGTAGAGAGGCCAGAGATGCTGCTAAACAGCCTTCAGTGTACAAGACAGCTCCCACAATGAAGAATTAACTGGCCCAAAATGTCAATAGTGTCAGGAGCCAAAGACACAAACCCTTAGTAATTGCTAAAGTCGTGGAACTGCAAATTAAAATAAAGGTCAGCATTTATTTGCACTGCTGTATGCAGATTATGTGAAAATCACTCTCAGAGTAGAAATTTCCTTTACGTTTGAGATGTACTGTTAAAATTTTCTTTCAGGGCGCCTGGTGGCTCAGTCTGTTGAACTACTGACTTCAGCTCAGGTCATGATCCAACAGTTGTGTTCATGGGTTCGAACCATGTGTCAGGCTCTATGCTGACATCTCAGAGCCTGGAGCCTGCTTCAGATTCTGTGTCTCCCTTTCTCTCTGCACCTCCCCAACTTGCACTCTGTCTCTCTCTCTCTCAAAAATAAACATTAAAAAATTTTTTTTTAGTTTTCTTTCAAGACTTTTAGGAAACTTCTTACTAGGGGTGACAAATTAATATGAGAGAAAATGTGTCCATGTATATCTGCTGGAATTTTATCATTTCCAAAATGGAGCCCACTTTCATCCCAGAAACATCCTCCGGGCATGTGGTAATGATGCTAGGGGGTGGGGGTACAGGTTTGAAAGGAAGGGAAATCAGTGGCACCTTTGGATTCTCATCAGGCTAGAAATCACTCAGAGAGGAAAAGGCAAAAGGAAGCTCAGAGCCCACAGAGATCAGCTTTCAGGCCCTAAAAGCAGTAGGACAGGCAGGACCCTTGAGTCCTGTGGTTGTGGACAGCCACTCATACACAGACCCTCGGGAAAATCAGGGGTCAGGGGCCCCATGGAAGGTACTATGTAATAATAGCAGGGTTATTACCAGGCACTATGCTAAGTGCTTTTGCACTTTCTGAACTTCACAACACCCTGTTAGGTAGATACCATTTCCTGAATTTCACTAATAAAGGAACAGAGGCTGGAAAGATAATCTCACCCAGAGAAACAACAGGCGTAAGGGCCAGAATTCAAACTTAATATCGAGGGTTGCAAATTGGAGGGCCACTGGCTGAATCTAGGCTGCAGATGTGTTTTCTGTCACCTACAGTGCTTTTAAAAATCAGGGATTGTACATTAAAATAAGAATATCTAAATTCTCTTGAAAAATTGGATGATCTGGTACATTCTTCGAAGGCATCAATTAGTTAGAACTGAAAAACAGCTGCCCCTTGAGACAGGACCTGAGGGTATCTCTACTTCACCATAATTCTCGCTTTTCCTTACTGTCCTTCAGCTGCCCATAGCACTCATTTATATTACCTGACTATTCCTTGTGGGTGATAGGCTTGCAACCCATTACCTGGCACTAAAGTCTATACTCTTTCTTCTAGAGTACCCTCCCCTCCCTGATTCTGCAGACATAATGAGGCATTTTTTTCCTCTGCTCATGAACTTGGCCATTTATTGTGATTCTCTAAATAGGGTACCCCCCCACACACATATACACACCTTTCCTATAGAACAAAGGTTCAACCTAGACAGCATTACAGATATGGGAAGCTCAGGTGATACTGGGATTTTTAAGAGTATTCAAGCTTCATTCAGTCAATAAACCAGTGAACAAACATTTATTGAGAATTGCTGTGAGCAAGACACTGTGCTCAGAGTTGGGGATACAATGGAGAATAAAGATCTGGGCCCTGAAATACAGTAGTTTGTAATCTACTATATAAGGTTCAAAAACAAATGTGCTTTTTTGCAGGGCCTGGGGGAGTCTGGGATGTTCTTGGGGTCATCTGTGTTCTTTGCCATCACTGATGCTGTGGCCGCAGCTTGCAGAGAAAGAGACATAGTTGAGGACTTCATAGTGAAGAGTCCAGCTACTCCAGAACAAGTTCGAATGGCCTGTGCAGATCAGTTCACAGAGATGGTAAGGAATTATTGTTTATTTTCCTAAAATGTGATTTTTCTATCCCTTGCTTCTTAGACCAGTAAGATAAAAATTCACAACTAATCTGATCAAATTATAAGGTCAAATTAGAAAATATAAGATGATAGGAGCACCTGGTGGGCTCAGCCAGTTGGGCATCTGAATCCAACTCGGGTCATGATCTCATTGCTCATGAGCTTAAGCGCCGCGTCAGGCTCTGTGCTGACAGCTCAGAGCCTGGAGCCTGCTTCAGATTCTGTCTCTGTCTCTCTGCCCCTCCCCCACTCGTGCTCTGTCTCTCTCTCTCTCAAATATAAATAAAAAACATTAAAATTTTTTTAATAAAATATAAAATGATAAAAAGAAGCCACACAAATATCTTTTGTATGTGTAGCAATTATAAATTTTTAAAAAGCATTTCCCCATCTGTTATTTAATGGGATTGTTTCAGCAATACTGAAATAGAGTAATTTATCATGCTTTAAAAACTAATAGCAAAGCACCAGGCTGGCTCAGACAGTTAAGTATCAGACTCTTGATTTTGGCTTAGGTCATGATCTCATGGTCCTTGTAATCAAGCCCTGCATCAGGCTCTGCACTGAAAACATGGAGCCTGCTTGGGGTTCTCTCTCCCTCTCTCTCTCTGCTTCTCCCCTGCTCTCTCTCAAACAAAAATAAAATAAATACTTTAAAAAAGAAAAGAAAACAAAACTAATAGCTAAATATTGAACTGATGATTTCATCAAACTGTTATATTTCCTCCTTCTATCCTACCTAATCTACCCTACTCTTCAAGAAAAATAATCACAAAACTAAGCCAGATGTCATATAGCTATATTTGATAACACACTTTCCATGCTCCCTATACAAACACAAAGTACACAATCTACCTTTCATTTAGAAATAACGTGATCTTGGGGCACCTGAGTGGCTCATTTGGTTAAGCATCCAACTCTTGATTTTGGCTCAGGTCATGATCTCATGGTTTGTGAGATCAAGCCTCACATCAGTGCTGGCAGCACAGAGCCTGCTTGGGATTTTCTCTCTCTCTCTCTCTCTCTCAATCTTTCTCTCTCTGTCTTTGTCTTTCTCTGTCTCAATAAGTAAATAAACACTACAAAAATAAAAAGAAATAACATGATCTCATTACCAGCTGCTGCTTTTCCACTTCATTCTCTTTCATAACAATGCCTCCCAGCCCAGGAGAGGGAGGACCAGGGAGCCACCTGCTAGATGCACAGGCGTGTAACAAGCCCAGCCTGCTGAACATTGCAGCTACGCAGCCCTGGTGAGGTCACTGAGTCCACCTATATCCATCTCTTCATAGCATCCTAATATAAATAGTAATAGTAGTTGGCATTGATTGGGCACCATACTAAATATTTCACATTAGTAAAATATCTCATTAGTCAAACTCTATCAGGTAACTAGTATTATTATTTTCATTTTACTGTTGAGGAAACTGCGGTATAGTCATTTGCCCAAGGTCAAGATTCAAACCCAGACCATCTGGCTCCAGCATAGTATATTGCTTCTTAGAGAGAAAAGAACTGATTCTCTACCTCTTAAAAAAAAATCTGTATTTTTTCATATCTGTATTAAAGGAAGTCCAGGGGTACCTGGGGGGCTCAGTCAGTTGGGCATCCTACTTTGGCTCAGGTCATGATCTCACAGTTCATGAGTTTGAGCGCCACGTTGGACTCTGCTGACAGCTCAGAGCTTGGAGCCTACTTCCAATTCTGTGTCTCCCCCTTTCTCTGTCTCTCTCTCTCAAACATAAATAAAAACATTAAAAGATACATATTTTTTAAAAGAAGCCTAAATACTTAACTGACCTCTTCAAAATATCCAGCCATAGAGTGAAAGAAAAATATGACCTAGGGTTTGGGGATATTGCTTAAAAACAAGTGTCATAGGAGTGCCTGACTGGCTCAGTCAGAAGTGCATGCAACTCCTGATCTTGGGGTCGTGAGTCGAAGCCCCACGTTGGATGTAGAGATTAAACAATGCAACCTAAAAAAATATATGTGTCATAATTACTTGTTTCCTTCCCCGAAATGATCTACTCCTCTTCCCATCTCCACGACTGACCCAACATTTCTCCTATTCCAATAGTACCCACCACTGTATTTCCCTCCAAGTGTCCTGGCAACAGCTCTGCCCCTTCCGGCTGCCCCTCTCCTGACTGCACTGTCCCCAGAAGGGTTGCAGTCACCTGCCTCTGGCCAGTCCTGCTCAGAGGGCCAAGGCCAGGAACCAGCACTCCTCCACCGCGAGGAACGCCTTCTCTGGGCGGACCTGGGTCTGGAGGGCCACCTCTACCCCAGCCCAACAGCAGTAGTCACATGGTAATTGCAGAATAACATGATCTCTACACCAACCATTAACACTTTCAACCTTTCAAAAAATGCTCTCAAACCTATTTTGCAGTAATAAATATCCTTTCCCAAAATGGGGCAGCTTAGTGAAGCTAAAAACACACAGCGGCAGTTCTAATCCTCCTCTCTTGCCCACGTTTAACATTTTCAGTCTTCGAATAACCTGGTTCCCGGAAGATGTATTCCTTCATTTCCAAGGCTTTAGGCCATTTTTAATACTTGGGTTATCTGGCAAAGTCACTCTGTCATATGCAATGGTAAAGAAGTGAATGACTAGGGCACCTGGGTGGTTCAGTCCGTTGAGTGTCAAACTTCGGCTCAGGTCATGATCTCACAGTTCCTGAGTTTGAGCCCCGCTTCAGGCTCTGTGCTGACAGCTTGTAGCCTGGAGCCTGCTTCGGAGTCTGTGTCTCCCTCTCTCACTCTGACTCTACCCTGCTTATGCTGTCTCTCTCTCTCTCAAAAATAAAGATTAAAAAATAAAAAGTGAATGACTTTGATTTCATTCACCATTTGGGACCCTGCCTGCCAGTTACCTTGTTCATGGATGAGGCCATATTTTTCTCCCAAGTTTGATGGTTTTTTCATAAGAGTAACTTACTATATATCTTTTTTTAATTTTTTAAATGTTTATTTACTTTTGAGAGAGGGGAAGGGTAGAGAGAGAGGGAGACAAAGAATCTGAAGCAGGCTCCAGGCTCCGAGATGTCAGCACCTAGCCAGAAGTGGGGCTTGAACCCATGATCCATGAGATCATGACCTGAGCCAAAGTTGGAGATTAACCGACTGAGACACCTAGGTGACCCAAATTAATATATATCTTTGTCGATATAAGTCATCTAATAATTTGTATACCTGTCAATCAAATGTTCAGGGTCAATGTGAGAGCAACCTCACATTTTTAAAACATGTCTAAATAGCACCTCATGTTATAATCCATATTTGATATTATTAATCTCATTTTAGTAGCATATAGTATTTTTTATCTTCACAAAAGTAACACATGTCCATTATTGAAAAATAAGAAAAGTGTAAGATGAAAGTTAAAATCAACCATATAACCCCACTAACCAGAAATAACCATAAACATTTTGGTATTTATATATACATACACACATATAACCATCTTTTAATTTGTAACTAGTCATATGTATAATTTACCTTGTTTACATACTCATTTTCCAAAATTGAGATATCCTTGACATAAATATTTGAAAAAATATGAACAGTATAATTGGGAGTGACTTCATGATAAGTGACTTCATCGTGAATGAATTCAAATTCTTTTTTTTTCTTGAATAGTTTATTGTCAAGTTGGTTTACATGTAACACCCAGTGTTCATCCCAACAAGTGTCCTCCTCCATGCCCATTCCCCCCCTTTCCCCTCCCCCCACTCCCATCAGCCCTCAGTTTGTTCTGAGTATTCAAGAGTCTCTCATGGCTTGCCTCCCTCCCTCTCCCCCACTATTTTTCCCCTTCTTCTCCCACATCATCCTCCATTAACTTCCTCCTAATCCACCTATATGTGCAAACATATGGTATTTGTCTTTCTCTGCCTAACTTATTTCGTTCAGCATAACACCCTCTATTTCCATCCATGTTGCTACAAATGGCCAGATTTCATTCTTTCTCATTGTCATGTAGTATCCCATTGTATAAATATACCACTTCTTGTTGATCCATTCATCAGTTGATGGACACTTAAGCTCTTTCCATGTTTTGGCGTTTATTGAGAGTGCTGTTATGAACATTGAGGTACATGTGCCCCTATGCATCAGCACTCCTGTATCCCTTAGGTAAATTCCTAGCAGTGCTATTGCTGGGTCATAGGGGAGTTCTACTGTTAATATTTGGAGGAATCTTCACACTGTTTTCCAGAGGGGCTGCACCAGTTTGCATTCCCACCAACAGTGTAGGAGGGTGCCCATTTCTCCACATCCTTGCCAGCATCTAGAATCTCCTGATTTGTTCATTTTAGCCACTCTGACTGGCGTGAGGTGGTGTCTCAGTATGGTTTTGATTTGTATTTCCCTGATGAGGAGGGATGCTGAATATGGTTTCATATGTCTATTGTCCATCTGGATGTCCTCTTTGGAGAAGTGTCTGTTCATGTCTTCTGCCCATTTCTTCACTGGATTATTTGTTTTTCAGGTGTGGAGTTTGATGAGTTCCTTATAGATTTTGGATACTAGCCCTTTACCTGACATGTCATTTGCAACTATCTTTTCCCATTCCGTCGGTTCCCTATTAGTTTTCTTGATTGTTTCCTTTGCCATGCAGAAGCTTTTTATCTTAATGAGGTCCCAGTAGTTCATTTTTGCTTTTGATTCCCTTGCCTTTGGGGATGTGTCAAGTAAAAAATTGTTGCGGTTAAAGTCAAGGAGGTTGTTTCCTGCTTTTCTTCTAGGATTTTGATGGCTTCCTGTCTCACATTCAGGTCTTTTATCCATTTTGAGTTTATATTTGTGTATGGTGTGAGGAAATGATCTAGTTTCATTCTTCTGCATGTTGCTGTCCAGTTCTCCCAACACCATCTGTTAAAGAGACTGTCTTTTTTCCATTGGATATTCTTTCCTGTTTTGTCAAAGATTAGTTGGCCATACATTTGTGGGTCCAATTCT